TTATTTAAATTTTATTTATTTGCAAATAAATGATTTGTACGTCATACTTACACTGCTGTTTTCACATTTTTAAGTTCCGCAGCATAATAATCAGCGTTATTCTTAAAGAAAAGTGCAACCATAAACGCGTCTATTTTAGGAAGAGTTCTGCTATCAGCTCGTACAAAATTTGACTCCATTTTGCGATTTGTATAGATATTAATACCACTTCTTTCTGAATCTATTAAAAATACTTTTAGAAATAACTAAAACACTTAAAAAAAACACATAAATGCGCACTTAACATCGGTTGAAGGAATCCACAAATTAAGATTTTTGTTTTGTTTACTTCATATCTTTTAATCTATGGTTCACTTTTGACACTTGTGACCATTGCGGTGTCGTCACAAATTTGTGTCCAATCACAGGACGTTCCCGTCCGAGATAAAATGATTAAAAAAAATTAAATTTATTTCGCTAAATTTGCTTAAAACTTTACACCTAATAGTGTAAAATAAAATAAATTATGCTTTTCTATCCTTTTATCTACTAGGATGGCCATAATTTAGAGAATATTTTCAATGTTGTCAAATAGCCTATTATGTACATGTTTGTATCTGGGTCGTGTGGAGCCTGCGCATGTCATAATTGCAACTGACAATTATGTAGACAGACGGACAGTGTGTTGAGCATATTTATCTCTCACATAAATAACAAGAGCATTAGGCCTGACTGGTGACATCATAAATTCATCAGCAGCACTCGGGTTCATTTATCAAAACACATGACAAGAAGGAAAGTCTTTCGCTTATTTTATTACTGCTAAATATATCACTTACACAAACGACATAAAAACATTTAAAAAACATAAATAGTCATGTTACAACGCCTTTTACCAGTGTCATACCTCCAAATTGATATCGCACTTACACATAAGGGAGTGCTATTAAAGGCGATGTAAATCACCACAGTTTTACATATTTAAATTAAACTTATCAAATACTCTTGAAGGCACAGGTTTAAGACAGTTTAATAAACAGCGAAGTAAAGCTGTCACTCACAGATGTCCAGGAAGACGGCTCTCCATAAAAGATACCAAAACCTTTTGCGAAACCGCAAATTATATCAGTACGACGGACTCTAAATAATATTGAGAAAAGAGTGAGAAGATGATATCTATCGCGATGATGATAATGCATTTTTGTGCTAATCAGGTGAAGATACTTGAGAAAACATAATGCTATTATGTCTACCACATAATCTTCACTGACCTAAAGCACTCTTTTACTCATGTAGGCAGAGCGATCTTTATTTGCTTATCTGAATCAACCAATCTGGGTTGCCAAATTTCCACGAAAATACAGTGCTAAATACAGGTCACACTATACACTGCATTTTTATGTCTTTCTTTGGAACTGTGCCTGACGTAACGAATAGCGGAGGAAAGTAAACTAAGAATTCAGCTTTCTAATCAGGTCAAATGGCGCTCCAATTTCGAACTAGTTCACAAACAGGCGTAACATTCAGACTTTGCAGTTGTAAGTTACTTAAGTAAAATACCTATTTCTTAGCGTTCCATGGATTCACCGTGCGCGTGCCGGGTCCATCCATAAAATTTGTATTTAGATAAATATAATTTAAAAGGTAGCTACGAGGGAACAACTGTGTAATACAGAGAGCCTAATTTTTAGCCTTAATATTTTTACCTAAATACACTCGAGCCGGTGTCCCCCAAGGGGTAAACAGAGGCGTATAAAACACCCCCGTTAATGAAGAGTAGCAGTAACAGTTCGACAAGGTCAAGGTCAAAGAAAAGACAGGCACATACGTCTTATATGGAAATCATAACTATTAAAGTAATTTTTATGCGAGTCAGGCTGCAGTTTATTGTATAGGTACTTTAACATAGATTAAAAACCATAGAAATATTTCATAACAATGGCCAGAATGAAAGACGATAGGAAAACACCTCCTTAAATAAATATCACCAATTAAGTTTTGAAACTCATCTTCAAAGAAAACTCATCCAATAATACATTATTAATGAGGCTGGGACTAGCACTGTTCTAAAGTGATTTAACTGATGTAACTCTTACGCGCACAGTGTAAGGTCTAAAATTGAGTGCATAAATAAAACTTGCGGTCTTATGGACTGAGCCCACCTGTCCCTGCGTATTGAGCGCCAAATGAATTATTATCGAGACAATCGACGGATCTGTAATGTAAATACATACACTTTTATGTAAAAAACGTTTCGATTTTCAACTCATAATGAAGATCGCTCTGTGAGTCTTGTGCTAAAAGCACTGTAAAATACGGAAACATCTATGTAATTGAAGTTTATAGTGAGTTATTTTACTGTTAAAGACAGTTTTTTTTTAAAGACAACTGCCACACTAGGAATATAATCCTGTGACGCGGGGGACTTTACAAACATACATGAAACGGACACAAATAACAAACAGACTCAGGACAACAATTTGTAGATCACACAAAGTTATGTCCCATGTGGGATCGAACCCAAAGCACTTAGCGAAGTAGGAAGCGGAGAGGTAACCGCTCAAACCTCTACACCATCCGTGCAGTCAATTATGATGTGATATGTGATGCAGGTTTTGTATGATGATAACATCATTCCTTTGTTCTGATGAATTACACCCCGTTATTTATCTATAATGTGTATGTCGTCCTTAGTGATATATAAATATATATATATATGTATATTGTTATAAATAAATTGTAACTTTAACAAAATATCATAGTACTGAAGCAATCTATTGGTATATGAGTGTAACTTTGTCTACTCCTTGTTTGTTGTCTGTGGATTAAAGTTAGTCTGTTAAAAACCGCCAAGCGAATTTTATTATTTCATTAGGTTATGGGCCCAGTGGAAAAGTAAAAAGGTAATTAGTGTTTGTGACTTTCGGTGTTCCTTTTTTTTGACTGTCAGTACTAAAATGTCGTCAGGTAATTACTCAGTGAACGTTCCTAAATTAAAAGGACGCGAGAACTACGACGACTGGGCGTTTGCCGCCGAAAACTTCATGATCCTGGAAGGCATAGATGTAACCATCACCACGGGGCTAACGGAAGCTGAAAATAAGAAGGCGAGGGCAAAAATAATTATGACAATCGATCCGTCGTTGTTTGTCCATATAAAAACCGAAGCCACGGTACAAGCCTTGTGGGCCAAATTGAAATCATTGTTCGATGATTCTGGTTTTACGCGCAAGATTACTCTCCTAAGAAGCCTAATATCAATACGTTTGGAGAGTTGTGATAGTATGACCAGCTACGTTAATCAGATTGTGGAAACGGCTCAGCGATTGAAGGGCACCGGATTCGAAATAAACGACGAGTGGATCGGCTCTCTGTTGCTGGCAGGACTGCCAGAAAGATTTAGCCCAATGATAATGGCAATCGAACATTCAGGATTGAAGATAAGTGCTGATGCTATAAAAACAAAATTGTTAGACATGAGTTCGGAATTTGAGGTTAAGTCAGAAGGCGCGCTAATTGCACATGTACAGAAACGCCACCTACAGGCGCATAGTGGCAGTAGCAAAAATGAAATGAACCTGTCAACTGTCAGTAGAAATGTCAATGTCAATACAACCCAGAAAAAACAAATTCGTTGCTACCATTGCAAAAAGATCGGACATTTCAAGAGCCAGTGCCGCCTATTAAATAAAGACAAACAGAAATCAACTTCGAACGTGCTGAGTGCAGTTTTTCTTGCGCGAGAGTTCAATCAAGACGACTGGTACGTCGACTCTGGCGCAAGTGCTCACATGGTGTCAAACAAGAACATGTTGACAAACATATCTTATGAACCGAAAGTGAAAGAAATAATTGTCGCTGATCGCACGAAAGTTTCAGTGTTGTGCTCCGGAGATCTTCGGCTTACTACGCGAGTGAAAACAATCACACATGAAGTAGAAATAAAGAATGTTTTGTGCATACCAACACTCACCACAAATTTGCTTTCAGTCAGCAGAATGATCGCAAATGGTAACAGAGTATCCTTCAATAAAGATGGATGTTACATTTACAACACTCAGAATGTTTGTATTGGTGAAGCGAGCTTGGAAAATGAAGTGTACAGATTAAACATTGAAAAGTCGAAGCAGCTTTTAGCGGCAGTTGCACAAACCTCATGCAACACTTGGCACAGACGTTTGGGTCATATAAATATGAATGACCTTGATAAAATGAAAAAAGGAGCAGTTAAAGGTGTAACTTACCAGGAAAAACAGAATATAAGCAAATCAAGTTGTGTAGTTTGCTGTGAAGGGAAACAAAGCAGGCTGCCTTTCTCTGCTAGTACGAGCACGAGCAGCAGGGTCCTAGAAGTGGTTCATACAGATCTGTGTGGCCCTATGGAGAAGAAATCACTTGGTTTGGCTAGATACTATCTGTTGTTTATTGACGATTACAGCCGGATGTGTTTTGTTTACTTTCTAAAGGAAAAGAATGAGACTTTTAAGTATTTTCGTGAATTCAAAGAGCAGGTTGAGAATCAGCGGTCACAAAAGATTAAGATATTGCGGTCTGATAACGGTGGGGAATTCTGCTCAGTGGAGATGGAAAATTACTTAAAGCGACAAGGGATAATTCATCAAAAGACAGTTCCCTATGCACCGGAACAGAATGGCTTAAGTGAAAGATACAATAGGTCAATTGTAGAAAAAGCACGCTGTCTTCTGTATGATTCTCCATTCGACAAACACCTATGGGCGGAGGCTGTGAATACGGCAGTATATTTGAAAAATCGATCACCAGCAGCAGTTTTGGACAATAATACTACCCCATATGAGATGTGGACTGGCAGAAAACCCGATCTACAACATATTAGAGTGTTTGGGAGTCCAGTTATGGGCCACATTCCAAAAGTGAGACGTAACAAGTGGGACAAAAAATCACAAATGTTACATTTGGTTGGGTATTCAGAAAATACCAAAGGCTACAGATTATATAACCAGAAAACAAATAAAATAACTGTGGCACGGGATGTTGTGGTTATGGAGAGTCATATGAATGACACAGTAGAGGTTGTGGTTGAAGAGAGGGCACCAGACAAAGATATAGAAAAGAATACAAGTGTTGAAGAGGAAAGTTCAATGAGCATTGAAGACAATGAGAGATCAGTCAGAGAAGATCCAACATATATTGCAAGCGATTCGTCAAGTGATCAGGATGACGAATATAGTGAGTGCTTAATAACAGATGACAGTTTGGTTGCTACTCAGAATGATGCTGTCATTCAAGAAAAGAAGCGAGTTCGTCGTGTACCAGAGAGGTATGGTTTTTCAAACATGTGTGTTGAAGACTTTACTAGTGAACAAATATCTCTACAGGACGCCCTCACAGGACCCAAAAGGGAGCAGTGGTGCAGGGCTATGCAAGAAGAACTGAAATCTTTTAGGGACAATGACACGTGGGTTTTAGTGGATAGGCCAAGTGAGTGCACAGTAGTGAAAAACAAGTGGGTATTGTAACGGTGCATTTCGCACCATTACAGTAATTTGAACCTTAGTCTCGTTTTTGTTTTGTTAGATTGAATTTTTTGTCGTTTCTGCGTGTGCCGATGGTCGAGGGACGGACGAGAGTAATAATCGATGTTGTTCGCCCGCGATTGGTTAGTCGATTTAGTTTTTCTTGTTCTGGCAACATTTTTGTTTCCCCGCTCTATGAAGCGAGAGGCTATTGCACTGGTATCACTTTTTTCACTTTTGGCGTCGGTCCGGGACGAAGCAGTTTGGATTTTTTTTAAATGTAGACTTTTTGTTGTAATTTATTTCTTACGAGGGCTTATTTCTTACTTTTATTTTTCGGCCAACCTCGTTAAGAATCAAATTATTGATTGAGTTTTTATTTTCGTTAAAAAGGTGAGTTTTGTTCGGCCACGTGCTTCACGCTTGGCTTGGCGGAATTTGTGGTTTTAACTCTTTGTTTAATTGGTTACAGGCAATGCTTATAATGCTTATAATGCCGCTGCTTGATTTGTGAAACGTTTTGGAACCCTGGTAAGTGAAATATGATTTCTTGTCAGAGTTATGATTCATACTGTGAGATAGGCTTTTAACCTATAATTTTTCCTTATTTACAGATGAATCAGGGTTTTCTTTTTTAGTTTATATCTAAAGCCTTTACAATACCTAAATTTCTTTACTTTCTTATTAGAATGTCATTGCGTGGCATTCGGATTTTTGTCTCTCGCTGGAGTTTAACCCCTGGAAATTAGTTTGCTGTGGAGCGCCAGAATGGTAGAAAAAGCTGCTTAGCTGTACGCCATGGTCTGGAGCCTGGGAGTGCTGACCCGCCTCTTACACCACGTGGGAACCGGAGTGAGAAGTTTCGGAGTTGGTTTGATTTCATGTCATTCGGACTGGTCCAAGGTCATTGTTTTGTGGTATGTAGTTTTGTTATATTTTTCTTGGCGACGTGGCATTGAACACTGCAGGTCCCCAAGGGGTGGTATTTTTCATTAGAGAGTAGATCAATGCTATGTCTACCTTTAGAGTTTATTGTTTTGTCTATTTAGTCTTTATGTGACTCTTTAAAACTTATTTAACCTTATATTTTTCTTATTGGAAAGGATTGCATTAATGACAGTACTAATTTGTGTATAAGAATTACCTATTGTAATTAGAGACATAAGACACATTGTACTCTACAGACACTACGGGATAATAAACTGCCAATAGAACTTAACATCTTGTATTCATTAGCTGTCCTCCCGCTTTGTTTTAAAAAGGTTCAACGCTGGCTGAGATGTCCGAGGTATTTGTTGTGTTTGTGGTGGGTTCTGTGTTCTTTTAAGGTGGTATCTGGCGCCCGAGACTTTTATTTTGTTATTTTGTTTCTTGTTTCTATTTGATGCTACCAATCATAGTTTTATTTTCTTTAAAACACACCCCACACATAATTTTATTTTTTTATTTTTTATTATTACAATTGTCGCCAGCGCTCAGGGACTGAAGTAGTGTCTGTAGGTTAATTAGATAACTGATTAGATACTGTCTTTACTGCATCCTATATTTTTCTTACATACCTTGTGTATTTTATAATTGTATTATCATTAAGTGAGGTTATTTTTACAATTTTTCAATAATGGTTTACAACATTGTGACTTTTCATTACAATGTTATTTTTGCTTTAACAAACAACAATAATTTAAGTTATACTGCTGCCTGTTGTATTCTCAATTAAGGGTATAGTTACTGAAACATTTTGTGTTACAATTTAATAGCTTTGAATGTTAATTATAAGTCTGCTCAAGAAACATTTTATAGATACCTCCGCTTTGGAAATATTATAATATAACTTATTGTAAATTAAGATTAACTTAACTTAGCTTAGCCTTGCTGTTATTATTTAGTTACTAGAACAATTGTTAGTGGTTACTGCAATCCTTAAATCCTTTTTAATACAGAACTTAGATATTTAAATTAAAACTTAGCTTTTTTTTCTTCACTTTCAAATCAATTTAGACTTTTCTTTACAATATTCAACTTTTAAATAATTTGAACCTGGTTGTTTACAACATTTAACTCTTAAATAAATTTAAACTTATCCTTTCATAAGATTTATCTTTTAAATAATTTAAACCTAGGTTTTCACAACAGTGACTTTTGAATAATTTAAACTTAATTGATTTTAAAGAACTTAACCTTTGAACGGCTGTATTGGAATTTTGTGGTTAATGTCGGTTTGTAATATGGACAAGGAGGCTCCACCTTCAACGTCGCCTGCCAATGTGGATGTTGACACAGCTGCGGATGAGTCAGCGGGGATGAACGTCCCATTAGATTGTCATATGTTCGTGATACTCCTGCTCTTGCACCATGTCTGCCTTCGTTCAACTGCATGAATGAACACGTTAGGAGGAATATGCCTGCCTATACTACGAAGCTGCCTGATCTAACTAGGAGCAAGATAGTCTTTGACGGTAAGACCTGTGTTAGAGAATTTATCACTCGTGTTGAGGATTACTTTGTATTCAGGAACTTTCATGAGGCCGTGTTGATTGGTTCGTTCGCTGATCTGCTTGCTGGTACTGCTGCCAAGTGGTTTGGGATTATTCGTTAATTGTCAAAACTTCCCTTCTAGATATAAAAATTTCAGGGTTGATGACAACACATTATATAAATTTTGTAAGAATAAATTAAATCTGGATAGTCGATTAAATTGGAAAATTGTTATTCCTAGGAACACATTCTTGATACTATTAAGTCTAACCATGATGATGTTAATTCTGGTCATCTTGGGATTCTTAAAACCACTAAGAAATTAAAACAACATTATGTTTGGAACGGTATGTTTAATGATGTTCAAAATTACATTAGATCTTGTGACACATGTAAAGCCTTAAGCACAGCACCTCACATAAATATATTCTTTCAGTTGTAGATGTCTTCACAAAATTTTGCTGGGTTTTCCATTAGTAAAAGCTACCACCGTATCCAATTGTAGAATCCTTGAAAAAAGAGATATTTCTTAGATTTGGTTGTCCTAGATTAATAGTTTGCGATAACGGTACTCAATTCACTTCTAAACATTTTGTAGATTTCATGAGAGGTTACAACATTACTAAATTTTTTATAACACATTGTACACACCTCAGAGTAACCCTGTAGAGAGATATAGTAGGACAGTAGAGACTTGTAATTCATGTTTTGTTAAAGATTGGATTTTGTTAGTTTGTTCTTGCTTTAAATTTTGACCTCACATTTAGTTGGCTTTTATTGGAAGTGTAAATTTGGTTATTGGTTTTACACTTAATTTTCTTATGTTTGGTTGAGAGTTAATTTGTTGATGCTTCTCTGCACCATTTTGGTAATTCTTTGTTAGTTTAGACCAACTTGAGTTGTTATAGGGATTTTTGTGCCCTTTCTTTTGGATCACTTAGTGATATTTTTTGTTAAGAGTTGAGTCATATTTGTTAAAAGCGCATTGCTTTATATTAAATTTATTAATATTATTTGTTGCTATTATATATTAAAATTGTTAATATTATTTGTTACTATTTCTATTTCTTTTGATGTTGGTAATATTGTTTGGATAAGAAGTTTTATTCAGTTCTAATGCTCCAGCATGTTTTTCGGCAAAGCTTGCACCTAAGTTTATTAAATGTAAAATTATAGAGAAAATTTCAGATAACGTTTACCTTTTGCAGGACCTTTCAAAGAACACCTCCGGTCGCTATCATAATAAAGATATTATTAAATATTAAAATTTCACTATTCGGTCATTAACCTTGGATCTTAATTTGATATATTTGTTGGATTCAACTTTTGTGTGAGGAAGTATGTAAATGGATGTATGCTAGATTATGGTCCTTTGTATGTTGATGTAGTGAGAGGCATTCTTACCGATATATTAATTTTAGGGTTTAAGAGTTCAAAAGTCTACTTAGGTCATTTTGGTTTATTATTTCAGGAACTTCATTCATAATAGAGACCACATCAAAAGATTAATTTGTTTGTATTTTATTTGCGTTTCTACCTAGTGTAGAGTGTTTTGTTGGAGTTAGGTTCGCCCTCTTTTCAAGGGTTGAACGGGTTGTTTGTTGGATTCACACTTTTTTCAGGTGTTGAATGTTTTGTTTCTTGTTGGATTCACACTTTTTTCAGGTGTTGAATGTTTTGTTTCTTGTCGGTTTCACACTTTTTTCAGGTGTTGAATGATTTGTTTTTTGTCGGTTTCACACTTTTTTTCAGGTGATGATTGGTTTGTTGGGGGGATTCACGTTTTTTTAAGCGTTGGATGTTTTTGTTTGCTTTCTGTTGTATTGTGCCCGGTAGTTCGGTGGAGTTGAGCCGATCACAATACACAGGTTTTTTATATATTCACACCGTCTTGTTGTGTTGAATATTTTTGTTTGGTTTCTGTTGCATTGTGCCCGGTAGTTCGGTGGGGTTGAGCCGATCACAATGCACAGGTTTTTTATATATTCACACCGTTTTGTTGTGCTGAATATTTTTGTTTGGTTTCTGTTGTATTGTGCCCGGTAGTTCGGTGGAGTTGTGCCGATCACAATACACAGGTTTTTTATATATTCTCACCGCCTTGTTGTGATGAATATTTTGGTTTGGTTTCTGTTGCATTGTGCCCGGTAGTTCGGTGGAGTTGAGCCGATCACAATGCACAGGTTTTTATATATTCTCCCCGCCTTGTTGGGATGAATATTTTTGTTTGGTTCGACATGTTTGACATGTGTTTGAATGTTAGGGTGAAGCGTATTGTAACTCCATTAGAGTCGGTGACGAAGGTGTCCAACCGCACTTCTTGGATATTGATATCTTGGAGATATGCATTTCCTGATGGATGTTGTTTTGTTTTGTGTAGTTCGTAACTCCATTAGAGTCGGTGACGAAGGTGTCCAACCGCACTTTTTGGATATTGATATCTTTTAAGATACAATTCCTAATGGATGTTGTTTGTGAAGTTTACTTTGTTGTTGTTAGTGTATTTTGTTGTAGTTTGCAGCTCCATTAGAGACGGTGACGAGGGTGTCCAACCGCACTTCGTGGATACTGGTATCTTTTTAGATGAACAGTTACCAATGGAAGCAGTTTGTGTAGTATATTTTGTTGTGTTTGTAGCTCCATTAGAGTCGGTGACGAGGGTGTCCAACCGCACTTTTTGGACTTTCCAGTCTTAATGGTAGCTTGGTGTAGGGATTTGTTTTTGGGTTTGTGTGATTTTGTTGTAGAGTATATTTTGATCTTATATTTAGTTTCCTAGTCCTTTTTGGCGTATGGATTTTTGTATTCCTGGAGTTTGTAGAGTTTTAGTAGAGTTTTTGGTAGAGTTAGTTTTGGAGTTTAGTTATTTTGCAATCTTTTTGTTTGATATGTTTGTTGAGTGGTGACTTTTCAGCATAAAAGAAAGAGTCCTTTCTTTTATTTTTTTTCGGGAAGGTATGTAATGTAACGGTGCATTTCGCACCATTACAGTAATTTGAACCTTAGTCTCGTTTTTGTTTTGTTAGATTGAATTTTTTGTCGTTTCTGCGTGTGCCGATGGTCGAGGGACGGACGAGAGTAATAATCGATGTTGTTCGCCCGCGATTGGTTAGTCGATTTAGTTTTTCTTGTTCTGGCAACAT